GGCTGGGGGTGGTGGGTGGGATCCAGTTTTCCCTTTGGCAGGGGCTCCAGGGGAGAATCTAGCCCAAACTGGCACAACACCATTCCGGTGCCAGCAACTGCCAGAGACAAGTGTCTCGATGAATCATCAGTGGTAGTCTGCGCAGGAATAGGATGACACGGGGGAAAGACAGCCTGGCGAGGCAGTGTATGACTGCTACAATTACTTGTGATCCACTAGCGGGGTGAGCCTCAGAGCCGCCTCATGCACACAGATCTACAAGATGACTGTGAGCATCCAGCGCATGCCCTCCCCATCCTCCCACGCTCTTGGGAGACATCCATCATCTCTGCCGCCGCCCGGACAAAGCCTCCATGAGCCCTCATCTAGGCTGGAGCCCCCTATCTAGACGCTGACTCCATTCTGCCACCCAGCAACCAGTCCTTTACAGAGCAGTTAGCATCATTTCTAAAAAAAACTATAAAGCAGATATGTCACTCATCAGCTACCAGTGCGCCAAAGGTCTCCAGTTGAATTTAAAATACAAATTCCTTTCTCTTCTTTGGAAGCTGTCTTAGACAACTCGGACTGCTGTAACAAAATACCATAGACTGGGTGTTTATAAACAATATGCAATTATTTCTCTGTTCTGGAGGCTGGGAAGTCCAAGGTCAAGGCACTGAACCATTCAGTGTCTGTTGAGAACCTACTTTCTGGTTTATAGATGACACCTTCTTGCTGTGTCCTTTCATGGAGGAAGGAGTGAGGGAGCTCTCTGGGGTCTCTTTTATAAGGGCACTGATTCCATTCCTGAGGGTTCTACCCTCCTGATCTAAGCACCTCCCAAAGGTCTCTCCTAAGACCATCACCCTGGGGTTAGGACTTCAACATAGGAATTTGGGGGCACACAAACATGCAGTCTATAGCAGGAGCCCTATGTAATCCGGTTCACTCTCTCACCCTCTTTCCTGTTCCTTCCCCTACACTCATGTCACTCCACCCGTGGGCTGCCTTTGTGTCCTGGAACACAGAATGTTAAGTCAAAGCACCAGACGGAGCTGGCGGGCCCCTTTGCCTGCAGTGTTTTCCCACCAGTGTCTGAGGGCAAGGTCCCTCCTAGGATTCAGAGAGGGTTTCCTTGACCACTAACGCCGTGAAGCCACCCAGTCACTCGTGACATCTCAATTTAATTTTCTGCAGCACACTCACTACTTTCTGAAATGTTTGTTACTGTTTTGTTTTTAGTTGATTTTTTTTTTACCAGCTTAAAAAAAAACATTTATTATCTCAAAATTTCTATGGATCAGAATTCCAAGCACAGCTTGACTGGGTTCTCTGCTCAGAGAACTATAATCAAGGTGCCAGCTGGGGCCGGGTCTCATCTGAGACTGGGTCCTCTCCCAAGATCTAATGTTGTCAGAATTCATTTCCTGGCAGCTGTAGGATTCAGAACGTTTGGTTTCTCAAGGGCCGCAGGAGAGAGAGAGTCTCTGACTTCTTTAATCTCTAACCTTCAGATCTTTCTTTTAAGACTTTATTTTTTAGCATAGTTTTAGGTTTATAGAAAAACTAAAGACCCAGTGGCTTGAGACCCCAACCTGCCGTGACCCACCCTGTGTGAGCCTCGGGACAGCCTCTGCCGCGCCAGCCCCACCAGCCCCGCCAGCCCCACAAGAGCCTTGAGTCCCGGCCTGTGAGAGGTGCTCCATTCACCTCCTGGTGACCGGTTGTGGTTGTGACACCATAACGGCCTTTTATGATATAGATTGAATGGGTAGTACAGAGTTCCCATTTTACTCTCTACCCCTGAACATGGCTTTCCCTATTATTAATATCTGGTATTATTGGTGTATATTTGTTATAATTATTGAATAAGTATTGGTTCATTATTAATAACTACTATCCATAGTTTATCCAGATTCTTATGTTTTACCGATGTCCTTTTTCTGTTCCCGAGTCCCATGAAGGATTCCCCATCACACTTAGTTGTCATGTCTCCTTGGGCTCCTCTCACTGTGACAATTTCTCAGACTGTCTTTGTTTTTGATGACCTTCACTGTGTTGAGGAGTGTTGGTCATCTGTATTGTAGGATGCTCCTCTGTTGGGACTTGTGTGATGTTTGTCTCATGAGTAGACTGGTTTATGGGTTGGGGGAGAAAGGCCACACAGGCAGGTGCCATTTCTATCACATCATTTCAAGGGTATAGCCATGATTTGTTTATGACAGTTGATGATGACCTTGGTCATCTGGCTGAAGTAGTGGGTGTTAGCTTTCTCCTCTGTGAACTTACTCTTTCTTCCCTGTTTCCATACTGTCTGCTTGGAAGGAAGTCATAGTCACTGCCCACACCCGAGGAGTGG